GTATATCACAAGTGTTGTAATCTTGTTTCTAATCAAACTTCGTTTTCCTTCGAACACATCGACTGCTATTCTGGATGTTGATAAAGAACGTCAGCGACCTCTGAATTTTCTAATATTAAACACTTTTTTTATTGTACATTTTCTCTTCAATAGAATAACATTGACCATGGTAAAAAAAATCAAAGAAGTCGTAATTTACGTACCTTCAGAGGTTCAAAGCACTCCAAGTACTGGAAAAAGACAAACAAAGAAATCAGTCGATTTGTTAGTTTATAAAGCTAACGTTAATTGCTTTAATTTCGTTACTTCTATTGGACGAGTTATTATAATCTAATCCCAGAGTGCCTTAACCTGAATGTATAAAGTTTCACTAATAACATAAATAACTACTCATTCTGCACTAACACTTCGTTACCTCGGCAACAAAGAACTTTTGCACGCAGTTTCTGTAGTCCCTCACGAAGTTAGTGTTCTGTAAAGATATTAAAATATTTTAGTTAAAAGGTTTTTTTTTTACTTATATCAAATAATGCAAGGAAATTGATACGTTTAAACAGATTTTAAAAACACCTACACTTATATATAGTTTCAAATATTTTCAATAGATGGCACTAAGTTGCACTCCCAGTTTAACATACACTAATGTTCACAGAAACAAAAATCGGGAACTAATATTACCATCTTAGTTTAATTCTCAATTAGTTCACCTACCTATGAGGAATTCTATTAGCGCTATTATTAAAAATTCTCATCTGAGCACAGGCATCGAGTATTATATATTTTTTTATTATTTTCATCTGACATAAAGTAATAATAATAATTCTTTCTTCGATAAGTCCTCAGCATCAGGAAATATAATCATTTTTGTTATCAGTTAAAGCCAATATAAAAAAAAGAAATGTTTCCATCAGTAATACACGGCGGCGAAAAAGTGACTATTATCTTAATACTTATTACTAAACACCACTGAATATCAAGATCATGCAAATACTAGTAGAACGTTTCTAAATTCGACAAAGTATACAGAGTTGTGATATTTCAAGCCATGGTTTAAAACTAAGGACTATCGAAGAGATATTGGAAATGTTGTTTACAAAATTTTCTTTTGAACAGCATTTTCAATATTCGCATTTCAGGGACATCAAGTTTTCATCGTACCGTAGATAGAGCTACCGAGAGTTGACCATGAACAAACATTGAACATCCATTTTCCAAACTTATAATTGTAAGATTAAAGTAGATATTTGTTTCTTAGCTGACATCTATCGTCAAGAAACGTAAACTTTGTTGTTATTGTTTATTTCAGAAAATTAAGCCCAACAGTGGCTCTGTGGGAAGTCTGAAGGCTTATAACACTAAAAACCGGGTTTCGAGACCCGTGGTGGGCACAGAACAGATAGACTATTGTGTAGTTTCTGTTAACTAACAAACAAAAAAAAATAAAAAATTGATGACACCATCTAATGATTGATATTAAAAGTTTTCTACTTAACCATTTCTCATATTTTAAAGATAAGATGTAACTCCATCAGTTACCTCGATTGGACTGTCCAACTCTAAAAATTGATGACATCATTTAATGACTGATATTAAAAGTTTTCTACTTAACCATTTCTCATATTTTAAAGATAAGATGTAACTCCATCAGTTACCTCGATTGGACTGTCCAACTCTAAAAATTGATATTAAAAGTTTTCGACTTAACCATTTCTCATATCTTAAAGATAAGATGTAACTCCATCAGTTACCTCGATTGGACTGTCCAACTCTAAAAATTGATGACATCATCTAATGACTGATATTAAAAGTTTTCTACTTAACCATTTCTCATATCTTAAAGATAAGATGTAACTCCATCAGTTACCTCTATTGGACTGTCCAACTCTAAGAAGCAAGTGATGCAAGCTGAGGAATTCTGTGGGAATAAAGATTCAATTACATTCACAGTAATAACCTACATTAAGTAGAACTTATATCCTTAATAACTAAGGATTCTAGTGGTGTATTAAGTAAGTTTATACATTAGATCAAAGAACTTCTCAATGCTGTTTTCGGTTGTTCGTGGTTAAGATGTGTGGGAACATCATAAAGTTGAAAGCCATATTTTCAACAATATACGTCCTAATAAAGAAATTAAGTAAAATGAGTTCACCAATTTTATTAAATCGCCTGTTCAAATTTTGTTTGAACAATGAATTAATTAAAATTATGTACGTATCGTTATATTTCTTACTTTTATATTTTGTAATTATCTGTATGATTAAACAAAATTAGTTTGAATTTTTAAACTGTCTAAGTGTTGCTTACATTTTACCAAACAGTTGACATGGAAACCAATTTAGATTATTAACCGAAGCATTACTTATCTTAACCTCTATTAGACTGTAACCAATGGTGATTAGCTTAACCTTTTGTACTCTTAAACACAGAGTGACTAACTTAACTTCTACTGGCCTGGAATTTAAAGTGAGTAACATCAGTTGTATTAGTTTGACAAGTAGAATGAGTAACTTAATCCCTGCCACTCTAGTACAAAGAGTGAGTAACATCAGTTGTATTAGTTTTACAAGTAGAATGAGTAACTTAACCTCTGCCACTCTAGCACAAAAAGTGAGTAACATCAGTTGTATTAGTTTGACAAGCAGAATGAGTAACTTAACCTCTACTTCTCTGGAACAAATATTGAGTAACTTAACGTCTACTACCCTGGAACAAATAGTGAGTAACTTAACCTCTGCTATCCTGGAACAAAGATTGAGTAGCTTAACCTCTATTAGTCTGGAACGTATAGTGAATAACTTATCGTCTATTATTCTGGAACAAAGATTGAGTAACTTAACCTCTATTAGTGTAGAACAAAGATTGAGTAGCTTAACCTCTAATACTGTAGAACTTAAAGTGAGTAACTAAGACTGTTTAACAATTACAGTTTAAACATTGAAAACTGTGGAAGCATGGAAATCAATAGGACTAAAACTTGTCATAAAAATTACGTAAACTTCAAAACTGGACAGGACGATGGACAACAAGTAAACTTCAAAATTTCTAAACTGGGCAGGACGATGGACAACAAGTAAACTTCAAAACTTCTAAACTGGACAGGACGATGGACAACAAGTAAATCTCAAACTTCTAAGCTGGACAGGACGATGGACAACAAGTAAACTTCAAAACTTCTAAACTGGACAGGACGATGGACAACAAGTAAATTTCAAAACTTCGAAGCTGGACAGGATGATGGACAACAATTTTTTGGGGGGGGGGGGGATTTCGTTACCAGTTCCGATGGCGCCATCCCTCGGCCAGGCAAGTTTTAAAAAGTAACAGTTTTAAAGGTCGAAAGCTGGAGAGGCATTGGAAACCAATAGATCCAACATTTGTGATAAAAATCACGTAAACTTAAGATTGTTTTCCAATTCCTCTGAATTCTCATACACTTCAAGTTTGGAATCCAAAAGGAATAAATTATTTAATGTGTTATAAGAGAAAAATATCTACAGTTTACGTGATTTTTATTACAAATGATAAATCTCGAATACTGTGAAATGTAGAGTGTGTTTGTTGCCAATGTAAATGTTTTGGAAAACTACCATCAGTAAGAAAACAATCTTGTTTCTCTGACACATAATAATCCATAAAGAACTGCATCTGTTGCTCTAGAAATTCGAGTTCGAGTTCTGACTTCTGTTTTAATACGACAGTACACCAGTTATCCTGAGATTTAGAGTAAGGTATCCTGGGTACTAGTAAAGTAAGTTATCTTATTTTTCTCGGACATATAGTAGTTAAAGTAAGAATTACTGTTACCCTGAGGAAGAGATTAATGCCCAAATATTTGATAGAGATCTCTCTATGTACTCTGATGTACAGAGTTTTGGGTTCCTGTTATTGGTTAATAACAACTAGGTACCCAAAACTCTGTACATCTAGTTGTTATTAACCAATAACAGGTACCCAAAACTCTGTACACCCGTTATTGGTTAATAACAACTAGATGTACAGAGTTTTGGGTACCTGTTATTGGTTAATAACAACTAGATGTACAGAGTTTTGGGTACCTGTTATTGGTTAATAACAACTAGGAGCTATTGGAGAAATATTTGTTGACTGATGCACAACAGAACATTGAAAAGCCAGTTTAGAAAATATTACATTGCTATTTCGTCAATGTTTATATTTTTTGTTTCCTACAATATAATCCAATTATCAATTATTATGATAGCACAAAAGTTACTGCTTAGCAATAGTTAGAGAACTAAAGATTAAATGTTTTTTTTTATAGGCTCGCCTTTTCATTGGCTGGGGTTTTACAAAGTTCGTCTAAGCTAGGTGCGTCCTCTGGTGGGTGTGGTGTAAGGTAGTCTTCCTCGTTCATACTTCGGTATCTTCTTCTACCAGTGTGGACGTTCTTGTAAAATAAATAACACGTTGTCAATGTTAAGTTTAAAATTAAAGAATAAAAAAAATAGATCAGTATTACTCTCATCTTAATGTTTTTACTTTTGATATGTTCCCTGTTAGCGGAGAGTTTATAACGCTAAAAATCAAGTTTTTATACCCACAGGGGGCAAAGCACAGATTGCTAATTGTGTAGCCTTGCGCTTAACAAGAAAGAATCATTTTGATATATGTTCAGGTTTACAAAAGTAGACACAACCCTTAGGCTATAGGAAACGGCTTATATTCTATATCTTCTTAAACAAAATGTCCACTAACCTGACTGAATAACAAAACAACAGCAAACAAATGATAAAACTGAAAACTAGCCATTAATATTTTTATTGGATATATCCAACCAGTAATCCCTCTTTGATTATCTCGGAGATATCGAACTGCAAGTCGCTGTTTTTGGCCTTTTTAATACCCTTATATACATATCTACATGTAGTATTCCACGAATAGGCCTACATGTTTGTACTCTTAACTGATAACCCCTACTTTCTCAGCTATTTAAAAACGAACGTATATTCGGACATCCCCAGAAGTGTAAAAGTTAGTTCTTTATTTCACCCGAAAATAATGTGACTTTTTTTTCCCAAACATTGAATATTAGTATTTCTAAGAAATCCAACTTTGTACGATTTGACAAAAAAAAATCTTGGAACTGTTTTTGTGTAATTTCAGTGAAATTTATGCAGAATTAAAGTTGTTAACCTTCCACGTATTGGGCATAAAAGTCGAGAAAACTGGACTTTAATGATAAATCAGTGTAAAGGTGAAGCTGCCATTGGCTGTTTACACAAAACATGATAACTTTGTTTGGTTGATGAACAATTTGTTCGAGATTGATAAAATTTAAGTTATCTTTCTTACACTAAACATATTAATTCTTTCACGACCTTCAGACTATCTCTTTCAGGAAAGAAAGTTTCACTTTTTTTAAGAGAACGGTCGACATGAAATCACGAACACGTAACATTATAAAGCCTAGTAAATACAGGGAATAGTTTTAGCACGTGTATGTAAGCTGTTTAAATAATAAAAATGAACAAACAGGTGTGAAGTACAAACTGTAGACGAGTCCGTTCCAGCAAGCCCAAAAGGGGAGAAATTCAACAGCTGTAGTTCGCAAATATTGACAAAAGCCAGGGGGACTCCCTGACTTTCAGCGAGTTCACTTCATAACCATCTGTGGAAACAAAGTTATGATCTTTCCTTGTTTCACTCCATGATTTCTGTTAGTAAAAGTACAGAACAAGCAAGGTGAGTGCAGCTTGTTTTCGTAAAGTTAAATTTTATTTTAAACTTTATTTCATCCCTTGAATATTCGTTTTTGAATGTTTCATCTGTTTGATAAAATTAGGAATTCGTCGCCTTTTAACGCAAGTTACGAGATAAACATTTTAGCCGAATATAAATGCACGTAAAGGTCATACGTTTTTCTCTTCAATCTGACAAGAAACATGTGCGTCTAACTTAAAAAATATAAATGAATAACATCGTGTATCAAAACAAAACTGTGTTATTTTGACTGTTTAATTTATGTAAGACTAGCCTGTATGTATTTTGACTATGCAACTTCAACATTAATATATATATATTCTTGAGGAGGAGTTTTTTTGTTTGTTTTTTCTCAGTCCAGAGCTAGGATTAGGCAAGATGGAGGCATAGCTCCCCTGTGTTGAATAATAGCTGTTCTTCATCTAGCCAACTTCTGGTTCTGACATTCACCGTTACAAAGGTGTGGAGGTAGTGTGAACCCAGTGGATCAGTGGAATGGTTTCGTCTTAACTTTCTGGTTCGTTAAAGTTCAATGTTTGAATATGGTCTTGAAGGAAATCTTTAGAAATGTAATCAACAAACGTTTTTTGAGGTAAAAATTATTTTAAATTTCTGAAAGTTCTTAAGTCTTTCAGTTCTAGTTCTTCTATAAAAAAAAAGAGAAAAAAAATGTTTATTTTATTTAATTGTCAGGAGAATAAGATTTCCAGTGTAAAAAAAACAAGACATGCACAGTTAAATATAAAGTTTTGATTTTCGGTGTTTCTAGAGCTGGAAAATAATTAACCAAATTCCTCAACAAACCACTAATTATCCGTATTTCTGATCAAAATAACCTTTAACTACAGGGTTGAAAAAGTTATATTAAAAATTACAATACAAAATACTCATACACTCAGATCAGAAATATGTATTTGTATCAGGGATTCATACACTCAGATCAGAAATATGTATTTGTATCAGGGATTCATACACTCAGATCAGAAATATGT